AGAGAGAGAGAGAGAGAGAGAGAGAGAGAGAGAGAGAGAGAGAGAGAGAGAGAGAGAGAGAGAGTGTGTGTGAGGGGTGATGTGTCTTTGGCCCATGGTTGATGCTTTTCTTCCGAAGCCACCCGCACAGAACTGCAGGTAGGTCAGGTTGCAGGAAAGAATGAGAAGAGTCTATTGACCACTTCCCCACTCGCTCTAGTTTGCGAAACATTCGTTTTGTATATACAGAAGGGAACGTAAGACACTTACCAGCATCCTTTGAGCCAACGATGTTCCAGACTGGAAGTCGTTTCCCGACACATGTATTGGTGTGTTAGTGCAGACCAGCTTGAGGCAGTTGTGTTAAAACGAGTTTTAAGCGATTTCAGGGATGTTTTAATACTACTGTTGATCAGAATAGACTGTCCTAGTCGTCCTCGACTTAAGAACAAGAAGAATCGCAAAATCGGAAATGGAGTTGATCGGGAGTACTTAGCTTGTGAATTTAGAGTAAGGGAGTCATGTTGACCAAAATATTTCTTTTTAAATGATTTACGCGGACGGGTGAGTGAGGTTAAGTTGCCGTCGCCATTTCCAATTTTGTGATTCTTCTTGTTCTTTAGCAGACTTTGCAAGCGAACCGTATGTTACGCCGGAAACTTGAGAACTCTGAGATCATCCTTTGAGGTTACGATGAGCCCGACCGGAAGTCCTCTTCGGACAACCGTGTTTGAGTCCCTCCTTCCGGTGCTGGATTGCTTTGCTAGTACCCGGTTGGAGTCTGTAATCGCCCTCTTGTGATGTGATTCCTGCAGTTGGTCCATCTGCCAGAGGTGTTCATTGCACTCTCATTCCCAGCGCTACACACGTTGAAATGGCCATGATGTATTGTCACGATCGTCGCAAGATGTCCGCGTCCTTGGATTGAGTGCGTTCAGTGTCAGAAAGATTTTACTAGCGTCGAAATAGGATACGCCAATTGATCTTGGTACGGAGAAAAAAAGTAAGCCCTCCAAACAGCCTCTGCGCATGCGCACCGGGTGGTTGGGGAACGTCTGCGCATGCTCAGAAGCTTACTTTTGTTCTTCCAGTTTAAGATCCATTGGAGTGCCCTTGTTACGATAGGCCGTCACATCACCGAGGATCATCATCCAGTATCTCTTGCGAAACCTCACCTGGGTATCATCTTTTCCACAGGACCGCGCGATTGGCTGTGGGATTGACAGCGTTTCGACTAGCAGTGTCGCTGTGGACTCCTGCTTTGCCGTTCCTCTGCGACGATCACTCCTCATCACCTTCCGTAAGTTGAGTTTTTCTTACAGGTTTTGTTGGATCAGGACAGTATCAGATCAGGAAGATTGTCAAAGCGCTCAAATTCACAATAGGCTGCCTCATCTCAAAGGGTCATTTCTTATAAAGTCCCGTTTTTCAAAAAATTCTCATTCCCTCCCTTACTCAAAAGAGTTTACGTGGCATCTGCTTTGTAAGGTAGAAAATCAATTGCGGGTCACGAATCAATAGACACTTCTAGCAGGGACTGAAGTAAAGAACAAGAAGAAGAACATGGACCGGAAACAGTACTAGAAATCAAGCTTTTTCGGGGGTTTTGACCGGTTTAAATCAAGTTGTGTTTCAAATTAAGCTTCCTTGAATGTTAGGATAGAGAATAAACATTCGTCATCAAGAATTAAGCGTAATTTGGCAACTGTTTCCGGCCGTTCTTTTTCTTGTTCTTCACTCAAGGCTCTGCTTGAAGTGTCGTTTTTGGGCCATTTTGTTTGGCAGGCCGCTACAACCCCATGAATAAGCGAGTCGATTTCCAATGCGATATGGTTCTTCCCCCAGCCTTCCTTTGTCACTTGAAACAGCGCGAAAGGAATTTTGGGCCTGTCCGAGGGCAAGAAAAAAAAAACAAAAAGAAGGACCTTATTCAAACATTGTCCAAAAATCACATTACAGTATTCTCCCGCATTAGGTCGATTCGCAATAAGTCGTTTTCATGTGACGGCCCCCGCTTACGCACGGGGGTTTATGGCCCGGCGAGCTCGACCCTCGGGGATGATTGACAGGGGTCCTCCGTGCCGTCAGGTCGAAAATGCGCGAACCCGGGCGCTGACGGGACCCCGAACCGCAGTGCCGACTTGGCCAGCTAGCGTACACCCGTAAGGCGCCGGTCGGCACTGCGTTTCGGGTCATTCCAGTGTAGGACCCAAGGGCCGGCTGCCGGCTAATTGTTTTATGGCCTCCCCGAGCTCGGAGCACTGCCGGACAGGGCATAATGTAAGAAATTTTTACAACTGCCCAAATCCGGGCGACCGGAGGGGGGGGGGGCAATGGGGCAATCACGGCTGCAATTTGGGGCTGTGCGGCGGGGAGATGTGGTAAGCCTTATAGTTCCTAAACCATCTCTTGGATGTTTGAATTCTCGAAATTATCACGGTGATCTGGTTAGGTTAGGTTATGTGTTTTGCCACATTTCCTTACCCTAACTTCACCAAATTTGACCTCGAGACAACTGCCCATTTTTTCGTTAACAACTGCCAAAGTGAGATTAAGAACTGCCCAAACAAGCCACAACTGCCCGTTACATTATGCCCTGCTGCCGGAGCCCGGCCTTCGCACCATGTGCTGTTCGGTTTTCGTGTTCGTTATAGACCGAGATCCGGTCCCGAGCCGTCGACCTATTGCGGGAGAATACTGTACCTGCGTTGGGCGAAGGTAGGTAAAAAATCAATTGTGGGTCACGAATCAATTGTGGGTCATTTTTTTCGACGGGTCACCGCAGACCCGACGGAGATTGAACCGATTTGAATTTCGCGGTAGACCTTCCTTCAACCTTTCTTTGTCTCCCCAAAAAGCGTGTTTGTCCGAGCGACGACTGTAACGGCTCATATCAGGCTTCAAAGGAAGGCCCTTCAAAAAGTCGTGAAAATGGCGCCCATCCAACGAGGCAAAAAATCGTGTGTTTTTCAAATTGCCACCGTGAAGCTATTACGAGATAAAACGGGACGCCCTTGCTGATTTTGGTTCATAGTAGGTCAGGGAACATAAATTTACCTTAAAACAGCCGAAATCATTCGATGCCATGGTGCGCGGGTGATGGCAAAGTAGCTTTTGCTACCATGTCAGACCCATTATTTTAGACGAATTTTACGGTAGTTTTCCTGCTATTTTGTTTTTGTTTTTGTTTTCTGCGCTTCTGAGTGACTGATGTATCACAGTAAATTCCATTTTTCTGCTGTCACATTTAGTACTACGATACTACGGTACTACGATAATATGTTAAGCTTAGGCTACAGCCCCGGATGACAACGCTAGCTCTTCCAGTCTGCCATGCCATAAGGCTTTTTTGTTTTGGGGGGGGGGGGCATTGCGGGGCTTACATAGCTCCCGGAAGGGGACCGCTCTCCAACTACAGGCTAGGCACCCGAGGCAAGTCCGGCCCTCTTTTAAGGAGTCAAATCAATCCCTACAGTCTAAATATTCTGACTGAAATAGATAATAAACTGTAGCAATACGTCATGATGACAGGGTGTGGTGTTGGATTGTCTACCACACCGGCGGCCCTACAATATGCACTATAACAGTTTCGTCTCTAATCCAGGACGTTTAAGGGGAGGTTCTGGTGAAAATCTTGCCATTTTCCAAATGGATCCTACAGTCATAATTTGTTCGGTATATAAAATTTTTCATTGGGGAGACTAAAATTTGACTTTTGAAGGCACATGCCAGGCTGTAAGCCCAGTCGAAGAGTCTTTTTGAGCCTATTTTGGCTGTATCTTAAAAAATCTCCTTGCGCATACTATTTTGTCGTAACAGGTTGACCTGGACATTTTTCACTTCTTCGACTCATTTTCAAAAGATTCCGGCATGCATAGCTCAAAACTTCCATTATATTATTAATTATTGGCTTTTTAAGCTGAAAAGTCCCTAAAATTTGACTATTTTGTACATTTTTGATCAATTTAAGTGAAATGCTTGGTTAGAAAGCTTGCGAATAAAAATGCTATTGACATTTTGAGATGGACATGCCGGCATTTTAAAAAAATGAATCGAAGAAGTGAAAAATGTCTAAGCCAACCTTTCACGACAAAATAGTATGCGCAAGAAGATTTTTAAAGTTATAGCCTAAATGGGAGAAAAAGGCTCTGCGACTGGATTAAGGGCATAGAATGTGCCTCCCCAATGAAAAATTTTAATAAAAACTTGATAAGACATCAAATTTTTAACAAATTTTCACAGTGGGACCTATTTAGGAGAAAATAGCATTTTCACCAGAACCTCCCCTTAACTCACATCTGTCTCACAGTGAAATTAGCCTGTTAATTTTCCTTTTTAAGTGAAAAACGTGTCTTGGTAGAACCAGGGACCTTTAATTAATGAAAATAAGAAAATATCTTGCAAAAGTGGTCAATTTACAAGCAGAAAGACGAAATGGCCCACAATTGATTCATTGTGCTACAGAGCCTGCAGTTTTCACGATTCCGAAAAATAAATCCAAAAGTGAATTTCTCTCATATTTAAGCAAATCATATCCAAATTTGACCTTCCTACAGGGCTGACCCACAACTGGTTCCAAAAATCAATTGTGGGCCAAAACAGGCTATTTTTGAAACAGCCACAGCTTATTAAATAATAAATAAGGATGATAGGCCGGGCTACTATGCTGCAAAACTTAGTCCAAGGACCATAGTTAAAGGCCGCACATGCACTTTTGTCACCAGGTCAGAATTAAAGGCCTTAATTTGGAATTTTCCAAAATGTGACCCACAATTGATTTTTTACCTTAGTTCGAGGCTTTGCGCGCGGGTAGCTTTAAAAATTGCTGACCCGCAATGGGTTCCAAAACTCAAATGTGGGCAAGAACAGTTTCATCTTAAAAAGGTTGCTGCTCTCAGCTCTGTTCACGAGGACGACAGACAGGGCTGCTATGCTGCCAAACGTAGTCAAGGGAACATATATAAAACGACTCGTAGCCACTGTAGCTACTTGTTCAAAACCACTATTTTAATTATGCATTTTTCATCGAAGTTACCTATAATTGATTTATCACCTTATCCACGAAGAAAATAAAGGCATCGTAAAATTACCTCGTATCATGCAGGAATGCTTCGTATTACGAAGGAATTTGCTTCATAATACGGAGCAATTTCTCTATTTCTTAATGCCTCTGTCTTCGTGTTACGAAGCGATTCTTAGGAAGCTTTTTCTGTGTTGCGGGTAGTAGGTTTTTTTGAGCTAGCGATTCTTAAGAAGCTTTTTCTGTGTTGCGGGTAGTAGGTTTTTTTTGAGCTACTGTACAAACTCGGTCTGCTTGAGGTTGAAGCATGCGTGCAAGTACACTGCACCTGGAGCCAACCTGGCATGTGTACACTCCTCGCAGGCGCATGCTTGCCAAGTACACGCCAGGGTGATGGCATCGCGGGTGCATACACCAATTTCTAAACCTATTTCAAATAGAAAAGTCTTGATATGTTCGGAGTCCGTGTGCATTGCCCGACACATTTCTCAATCGCATAATAGTCACAATGACAATTTACGCATTTTGCGCACAATTTGGGCATTTTTCACGCATAATTCACATTTTTAACCCATAATGCTTTTGCTGCTTTAGTTTATTCCGAAGAGTATTTCTTGTGGTGGGTTTTGTTCTTTGTTTTTTGTATTTTTTTGCTTTTATTTATTTTAAGTTTTTGAGAAGGAACACAAGTTGAAATTTGAATTTTCCCTGACAACCTGGTGCAGGTTGCCAGGGAAGGAGGGTCGGCTGATTGTGTTTCCACTGATCGAATCTTTTATTTATATGCACTGTAAAATTTAAACTCTGACCATTTGGATTTGGTTAAAAATTAAATTGCAATGTTCAGCCCTTTTTACATTTATTGCAGAAAAGTGTTTTTTTGCGCTACTCTGCTAACAGGTTATTCAAGTAGAGAGTACCGTCAGCGGGGGTAACTTGGGACACTTTTTCACGTTTTTTTGAACGCAAGAGGCAAGATTCTCAACCCAGACCAATGGATCCCAACTATGTTAAAGTTTGACCCTTTCCCCATGATTTCATGCTTGTCTGGTTCATTTGCCTCTATTACATCGTTTCCTAGCGGTCTCGAAAGAGTGTGGGGCGTTCCACGTCAAACCATCATGGTCCAAAACGTACTTGCTCAGATCCGGCCCCCAATTTTATATCTGGTAGTGTACCACCCAAAGACCACTCTCATAAATTTTTTTGAAAAAAAAATTCAGAACTTTGGCCGCAGTGATTTTTTGAAACTTCAAAAAAAAAAAAAAATTATTTTCAGTTTTTTTAAAAATTGTGTATTTAGGTGCTAAAATGGGTTGAAAACAGTAAAGGGCAACATAAAATAGTGAAAAAAAATTGGGACCCCCAGCCCTTACCAGAAACAAAGTTTACGATAAATAAAAACACGGTTTCTTGAATTCCCAAAATACGCTGTCTCACTTTTGGACCATATTGGCATCACAGGATCCCAATGAGGTACTCTAACTGTCACGAAAAAATTAGGGACGGCAATCCATAAATACCAGAGATATTGTCAAAAAAACTCTAAAAGTTATCGAAGGTTATCGTAGCTTTTTCCCCCAAAATTGTCAAAATGGGACCTATATTGGTTCCGCTGAGGCGCTGTGCACTGAAATACTATTCAATTGTCTGTCTTGACACCATGGAAGATGTGCGAGAGGTGAAGGTCAGCATTACAAGAGTTTTGGAATTACACGGCAATAAGTTTTTTTCAATTATAATAACCAAATGCGACAAAATGCATTGTTTGGCAGTCGCCAACTGAAGCTCATTGATTGGTGGGGACTTCATCCGGGTCATCTTCATTTTCTTCTTTTAAGTCTCCAGCAGTTGCATGGTCAAGGCCCGGATGGCCCGGATGAAGTCCCTACCAATCAATGAGCTTCAGTTGGCGACTGCCAAACAATGCATTTTGTCGCATTTGGTTATTATAATTGAAAAAAACTTATTGCCGTGTAATTCCAAAACTCTTGTAATGCTGACCTTCACCTCTCGCACATCTTCCATGGTGTCAAGACAGACAATTGAATAGTATTTCAGTGCACAGCGCCTCAGCGGAACCAATATAGGTCCCATTTTGACAATTTTGGGGGAAAAAGCTACGATAACCTTCGATAACTTTTAGAGTTTTTTTGACAATATCTCTGGTATTTATGGATTGCCGTCCCTAATTTTTTCGTGACAGTTAGAGTACCTCATTGGGATCCTGTGATGCCAATATGGTCCAAAAGTGAGACAGCGTATTTTGGGAATTCAAGAAACCGTGTTTTTATTTATCGTAAACTTTGTTTCTGGTAAGGGCTGGGGGTCCCAATTTTTTTTCACTATTTTATGTTGCCCTTTACTGTTTTCAACCCATTTTAGCACCTAAATACACAATTTTTAAAAAAACTGAAAATAATTTTTTTTTTTTTTTGAAGTTTCAAAAAATCACTGCGGCCAAAGTTCTGAATTTTTTTTAAAAAAAAATTTATGAGAGTGGTCTTTGGGTGGTACACTACCAGATAAAAAAATTGGGGGCCGGATCTGAGCAAGAACGTTTTAGACCATCATGGTTTGACGTGGAACGCCCCGTGTCCCAAGTTACCCCATGACCGGTGGTAACTTGGGACAGGTTAACTGGCTACCGTCTCAGCGAAGTCAAGTCCACGGCCGCCTTGTCGTGAAGCCTCGGCATTAGTCCGCCACCAACGCATCCATCCTTGACTGCACAAGTCATTATATGTTGTATGTTTCAGGAAACGTCTTAAGGGGACTGGGGATCATGCCGCCGCTGCCAACATGTTGTTCGGGTGGTGGAGAGCGCCGCTCCCCGTCGAAGCGGAATGTGGATGGCCCAATCAACTCAGGAAAGAAGCATTTCGAATGCGCAGTTTGCTACAAGAAGTTTCACCGAAGAGGAGGTCTTGCAATTCATCTTAGAACCCATACAGGGGAGAAGCCTTTCGAGTGCACGGTCTGCAAAAAGGAGTTCAGCCGAACAGATCACCCAAGAACTCACCTTAAAACTCACACAGGGGAGAAACCTTTCGAGTGCACAGTCTGTGACAAGTTTACTCAAACAAGTAATCTGAGAACTCACCTTAAGACCCACACAGAGGAGAAGTCTTTCGAGTGCATGGTCTGTGACAAGAAGTTTACTCAAGCAAGTAGTCTAAGAACTCATCTTATGACCCACACAGGGAAGAAGCCTTTCGAGTGCACGGTCTGCAAAAAGAAGTTTATCAATGAAGGTCATCTAAGAACTCACCTGAACACCCACACAGGGGAGAAGCCTTTCGAGTGCACGGCCTGCAAAAAGAAGTTTATCCATGAAGGTTATCTAAGAAGTCACCTGAAGACCCACACAGGGGAGAAGCCTTTCGAGTGCATGGTCTGTGACAAGAAGTTTACCCACGCAAGTAGTCTAAGAACTCATCTTAAGACTCACACAGGGGAGAAGCCTTTCGAGTGCATGGTCTGTGACAAGAAGTTTACCCACGCAAGTAGTCTAAGAACTCATCTTAAGACCCACACAGGGGAGAAGCCTTTCGAGTGCATGGTCTGTGACAAGAAGTTTACTCAAACAAGTAATCTAAGAACTCACCTGAAGACCCACACAGGGAAGAAGCCTTTCGAGTGCATGGTCTGTGACAAGAAGTTTACGCTAGCAAGTTATCTAAGAAATCACCTGAAGACCCACACAGGGGAGAAGCCTTTCGAGTGCTCGGTCTGCAAAAAGAAGTTCAACCGAACAGATCACCTAAGAACTCACCTTAAGACTCACACAGGGGAGAAGCCTTTCGAGTGCACAGTCTGTGACAAGAAGTTTACTCAAACAAGTAATCTAAGAACTCACCTTAAGACCCACACAGAGGAGAAGCCTTTCGAGTGCATGGTCTGTGACAAGAAGTTTACTCAAGCAAGTAGTCTAAGAACTCATCTTATGACCCACACAGGGAGGAAGCCTTTCGAGTGCACGGTCTGCAAAAAGAAGTTTATCAATGAAGGTCATCTAAGAACTCACCTGAAGACCCACACAGGGGAGAAGCCTTTCGAGTGCACGGTATGCAAAAAGAAGTTTATTCAAGCAGGTAATCTAAGAACTCACCTTAAGACCCACACAGGGGAGAAGTCTTACGAGTGCACGGTCTGCAATAAGAAGTTCACTCGTGGAGGTTATCTAAGAACTCATCTCCAAACCCATGTAGGAGTGCACAGTTTGCGCTCTGACGTTTAGTCGAGCAAGGAGTCTGAAAATTCACATCTGGTCCAATGAAGCTTTATGGTTTGTAATGGCGGTCAGGCTGGCGGTGGCCTGCGGAAGCGTCTCAGTATCCATGCAAGGAAGTCACTCCCAGACCGCCGCGTCGCGGAAAGAGGAGCCGATGCAAGTTGCTTGTGCGATTATTACGTGCAGAAGAATAGTTTTAAATATCAGACAATTAGCTGTGACGTACATAAGGGATGTCTGTTGTTCAAATCTTGTCTATTTTGTTTTATTATATTTGGTCTCTACAGAATTCACCTTTTAAATTGCACTGACTCTTTCCATCCCAGGTAGAATGTCGGACACCATACAACGACGCTTACGGTGTTAATTATACACGAAGAACACAAGCTTCTGGGATAAGTATCTCGCTGACATTGAATGGATACATTTTCCCTTTTGACAATAAATAGCTGATGTAGGCCAGGTCAAAATTATGTTACAGGTAAGAGAATTTTAATGTACCAAAAGTGGCTTCGATTAGTCTAGTGTAAGACGTCAGTCCGAGGGGCCCCATTCATAAGATCTAATCTGGGGGTTCCCCTGCAAAATACAAAAACATTATTTTAAACGCAAGCGAATTTCACTCAGTTTGATCATTTGATACACCTTTTCATCAATACAATATGTGAGTGAATTAAGTGAAACTTGAAGATAATAGAACATGGGCTCCATTTTCGTCATCAGCACCCTCGGAAACACAAGAAATGATGTTAAACTTGTCTTCAGAACTGGGTCGTTAAAAAGTCTAGTTTTTCTGCCGCATTTTTAGTGTTTTTTGGCTTATTTCTGTTCATTTCTTATGTGGCCTTCAATAAGGGAGTATGGGGCGATTTGTAACAGGGGCGATTCGTAACAAATGCGTTTATTAATTTAAGTGGAGGGAGCAGAGGAAAATCTGAGTATGGCCCCTCTTTCGCTTCAAGTACAGGGTCCTTGAACAATCGAAGCGGATGTGATCGGTGCTCAGGTATAGTTTTGGAGGGCGTCTGAAATATAGGGTACATCGAAATTTCGGCAAACAGGAAAAATCTTTTATTTTGAGTTCTAGGAAGTTTCTGTCTGAGGCTCCCTAGGTATGAATCACCATCTAAGTACCGTTGGGGCCTTGAAGCGTGACCCCTTTACAATGTAACCACGTGGCATAAGTTGCTTTTAATTTGTCCAGTGATAGTTAGGGACGTATTTCTTGCGTAACAGCCATTTGGGGTGATTCGTAACAGACCCGTATAAAAACAAGAATTTAAGCAGTTTTTGCAATTAAATGCTTGAATCATTTCTCGAATCATCTGCTGCCTTATTCAAATTCATTTACAAAGCTCGAAATGCATTTTAAAGCAAGTTATTCTATTCTTTCATCTAAAATTGAAAAAAGTGAGGTTAGGATTGACATAGCCGATCAGTTAATGCTGAGGCGGTCAACGGCAGCTTGTAATGTAGATTTTTAGACGTCTGCAGGACACCCGAAGAACAACTGGTGGAGGAGATATCATTCCCGACGATGTTTCATTTAATGTGTAGGATGTTATGAAAAGCCCCATGGCTGTTACAAATCACCCCATGCTGGGGCGATTCGTAACAGCATGCAAGGGTTTGGAAAACGTCTTGGATTTCAAAGATTACGGACTCCAGATTGATCCAATGGAGCTGCACAGTCTAGATGAAGGGCCAGACTGCTCAACTGGCACAAGTTTGACACCGATATGCAGAATGCTCTTAATTTTGTATAGAGAATTCCGAAATCTGTTACAAATCGCCCCATACTCCCTTACGGCTTGCGAAAGGTGCTTCCGTGGGAGGTACCTTTTGAAACAGGCAACCGTCGCAACAGATAATAGTTTTGCTCGTCCGAGAGGGAGGGAGGTCGCAGGTCCCCGCACGACCGTTCTCAAACGTGGGCGCCCCAGCTGTCACGGGCGGTTCGCCTTCAGGCAGACTTAGCTAATACGAGAGCAACAAAGTTTTGCAGCACTTGGCAGTATGTGTGCGTCAACACTGGTAACAAAAATCCAACAAATTTGAGTCACAATCCCTCTCGCCAAAATAGGTTCATTCTGAGGGCCCCAGTCTACGCAGTCCATGCGAACGACCCGCCTAAAAACAAATCTTTTGTTGGCGGAGACGGGAGACGAGAAGAAAGGGAAATGGCCTCCGAGATCCAGGTATCGGGTATTCTGTACAAGACACTTGAATCATGTATACACTGTTATAAGAAGTGCTGTAAATTAACAACATTGATAGCAACACGACTTGATTTAGGGGCTGTTCATAAAATACGTCACGCGTTTTGGGGTCATTTTTGACCCCCACCCTCCCTCATCACAACTTCACTGTTAAAAAAGTTGTTAAATTTAATACATAACGACATCTTAATTTTAATAATCTTTTGAAAGGATATGAAAACTCATAAAGGTTTGTGAAGTTTAAGAAAATTTCTTACAATTACCAAAACATTTCTGACAAGTAATGAAAATATTGGTAACTTGCAGGAACTTTATTAAAATTGAAAAACAGGTTCATAAAATTTGAGTTTGTTTGCCAAATGCAATAATTTGTTTCTTAAAATTCAAAATAACTATGACTTTTCGTATTTGTTTCTCATCCTGCCAGTTAATATAGTGATCATTGGACGCTTCGCTACGTAAAGAACAAATTTGGATGATTTTGGTCATGTGAAGTTGTGTTTGGAGGTCCTTGGATGTCCGCTGCCTAGCGGAGTCTCCGCCGAGAGGCCTGGAGTCATCCACATCCTAGAGCCTGCCTCGCAGAGCTCACTCGTGGCGCACTGTTTGTTGAACCCTGTTTAAGACCCAATAATTTTTAGGGGTTCCCAAGAACCCCTATTGTCCGAGGTCCGTGGATTCTTCCCCCCCCCCCTCTCCGATTTTCAAATAAACAACTCTAATCTATTTCAACCATGAACAAAACGAAAATTCCAATTTTTTTCGAAAATTCATCGTGGAAATTTTCCGTAAACGCAAAAAACATAAATTTGCAACAATCGAAAACGAGAACCGTTAATGATATGAAAAAATGGTTCAAATAAAAAATGTGCCACTCCTCAAAACTAAACCTCCTGGCTCATCAAAGTAACAAGAAATCATATATGTTCTGAGTAAATGGTCAAAACATGAAAAAAAATCTCCATGGCAACGGCATGGTCCCATCGTACCACCCGTCAAAATTTAAAGTCGCCCATTAAAAAAAATCTAAACGCCGTGAAATTCGAAAATGCTAATGCTAACACATTGCACGGTGTCTCAACGTTGGAACATCTTTAAAGTCTGTCACTACTAAAAAGTTCGTAGCAGAAACGACACATCAAATTAATTTTCGTGGGTTGGCACCAATATGCTTGCCGTCTGCGCCCTTTCGAAAATCGCGAGGCTGAAAGAACGAACAGGCGCCCATTGAAACTGCCCCTCCATTGTTGCTGAGGTTGGATTGTTTGGCATGCTCTCAAAGGCTGCGGTTGTCTTGTCATGTTTTCCTCGATTTTCAACCAGTTATGGAAACGGGAACACCGTGCAATGCGATTAGCATTGGAATTTTTTATATTTTTTTTAAAGTTGGTAGCGTTGCGGTGCAGTAATCCGGAATTCCGGGTTAGAGACCGAGTTCCAGCCACTCTTCCAAGCAACTTCGGCAGTGAATTCGACTACTACCGTGAAACGGGGTAACTTCGGACACTTTAGAGAGGTTTTTTTGAAATTGTGAAAGTTGTAGTGTTGTCATGGACTTGATGGTTAAAATTTATCATCTACCCAACGAAACCATGAGACGGAGGTGTGGTGGTCTGCGCAGTCGAAAGTGCAGAGTTTAACATTACAAATCTGAAGGTCAAAGTTCTCGCCACTCCGCAGAGATGAGACATATGGTCCTTGCCAAATTTTGGTCAGACCTCAAAGTCTCGCTGAAATGACAAAAAAGTCCTCAAGTAAGCAAGTCTCGCCATTTAGTGGAGAAAGCGAATTTCACCAAGTTTGGTCATTTGAGGCAGCTACAAATCAAAATAATTTAGGATTGAAGTCATACAAACTTGAAGATGAAAGACAGAAGAAATTAATAGAGCGTCTAGAAATATGTTCCGCTCACTCTCTCGTCCGTTCCAAATGGTCAAACCTTTGGTGAAATTCGCTTGCGTTGCAGATAAGATTCTTTGACTAGGAGCGCCCAGATAAGATCTTTTATAAAGTTCTTTTTTGAATAGGGAACTTTGAAGTGTAGATCTGCAGCTCTAACTGAAATTTGGCTGTAAAAATGTCAAACGTGGCTGCAAAACTGTTTTACCATGTCACATCTCTCTTAAGCTTCCCGATGCTTGTGCCGATCTTGTGGATTATACTACGAAGAAAGAATGAGACGCAGGTTCATGAGAGAGGAGCCGAGTGAGAAGCAGTGCAAACTCTCAGACTCGTGTTGACTTTTATCTCTTGCCATAAAGGTTTTTGTGCAAACGCACTGGGAGAATTAATGAAGAGCGTATACATCGTATACACAATTGACAAGCCGCGCCGTGAAAGCCTACGCTAATCTGGGCCGGGATGAAAAGCAACGCTCGGCCGGCCGAGACGGCAGTGTTCAGCGCGCTGAGCCCCTGCGGCCGTCCACAACACTGAAAAGCTGAAATCCTTTCGGCGTTGTGTTGCCAGTGGGTGACAGTAAATAACCTCAAAAGCTCAATTGTTTTACTCATCCCACCTGCATGGAAAGTGAGCTCAAAGTGTGAAGTGGCCATCACTGGGCACGTTACTACATGCAGCTTCGACCCCGAAAGAATACATACGCACACTTTCCGTGACACTCCAGCAAAACCGGTTGTCCAGAATTTTGAACTCGGCAGCTTTTCACGTCGTTGTTAGTTAGTCGACCCGACAGCGTACTTACACACTTTCCGTGACTGCTCGAAACGAGCAGATGTTTCGGATAAGCCGCTCAACCGGGTGTGTTTGAGTGTTACGACACAGCCGCAAGCTAGTAATTGGCTGCGTGACAGCGAAAGTATACTCCAGTTGTCTTTTTCAGTGTTTGTGTGGGTGAGTGTCCGTACTACTTCTCTCAGGGGAAGAAACTAGTCTTTAACACCGAAATTTTACCAAAATTTTACACTTTCAGCCTCTTATTGACTTTATGGTCATTGGGGTCAGTTGGGGTAATAATGGGACAGTTTGAATAATAAGGTTTCCACAACTCAACAGTGGCGAGTTGGAGTGTTTCTAATGCTTTTAAAGGATAGGGAACTCTGTTCCACACC